TACTGAGCAGCCTGGCCCTCGTTTTTTCCTTCATCTGCCTTTAGCCAACAGCCATCCTGATCCAGGACACACACAGTGGCTCAAGAGCACCAAACGCGGGCGGTGAGATAGAGCCATCCAGAGAGCCCACGAATACACAACCTTCACACATCTCCCAACCCGACTGATTCCTCCAGCCATCATTTTCTTAGTGATTCCTTAAAGAAGCTTTCTTAAGATAAGCCTTAGGAACTATTACCTCCCCTAAACCAAAGGTATATGACCAGGCACAATATAAAATCACAAATTTCAAATCACAAATCATCCTGTTATTCGTCGATTGCCTCGAGCAGGCCCCAGTAACGTCTCCTTCATCCTAGCCCTGAGATTATATTCAAGGTTCTTTAGGAGAATGAGACCCATCATTGTTACTGGTATTTGGCATATTGGGTTCGCCACAGGGAGTTTGCCAGACTCTGCCGTGTGCGCAGGATACATTCGGCACAATATAAAGTCACATTAATTTCATGAATAAGAAAAAAGTAAGAAATAGGGGTTAGAGTGAGGGCTGAAAAAGGCTCAGCAGAAGCACAAACAGGACACCCAGGTTCAGACCACAGAATTCTGGGGACCACCAGGAGATAAGAGGATCCACTATGCACTGCAAAATAACACACTGGCCCAAAATAACAACAGGAAAAGGGTAAGAAGTTGACAGCAAATTTATGACCTACAAATGTCTTAGATCTTTTCACTTGAAGGAAAAAATCTAAGAACAGTAATTAGAAATCCAAACATGCCCATTATAAAATTGGCAATGCTGTGATCTGTCTTACATTTATGATGCTGTACAGTGCTGTACAACTACCACTTCTGTCACTCTAAAAACTTTGGGGGGGTCACACCCACCCAGCAATGCTCAGGTGTTATTCCCACTTCTGGTTCTGCATTCAGTAATTACTCTTGGCAGTGCTCAGGGAACCGTACGGGATGCTGGGAACCAAACCCTCGTCGGTCACGTGCAAGGCAAATGCCCTACCCACTGTACTATCACTCCGATCTCTCTACAAACATTTTCATCACCTCAAAATAAAACCTCTTACCCACTAACCAATTACTACTCAGTCCTCCTCCTCCAGTCTCAGCTTACTACCATTCTGCCATCTGCTCTAAGGCAGAAATATTCTGCTTAATCAGAATATTTCACAGCCATGGAACCACAAAGCAGAAAACTATGGGAACTTTTCTTACCAATTTCTTTTACTTAGAATCATATTTTGAAAGATTGTCATCAATAAAGCATTTATCAGTACTTCATTTCTTCTTCTGCTCATTCACTTTCTCTATATGTTTTATCTCCATATGCTCATCTATTTATCTGCAAATGCACATACCTCCATCATTTGGCTGTTGTAAACAATGCTGATATAAACATCACATTTGTTCTAGTTTTTTGTTTAATTGTGGCAAAACATACAAAACATAAAACCTGGCATTTTGAGGATGAGGGGTCCTGTATGCTGTGTTGGGAAGGCTTTTGCTCCTTCCTGGTGGCAACCAGGCAAAGAGGAACATAGACCAGTACCAGTGCCCAAGATGTGGTAATAGTTGGGCTCAGCAATGCCAGACACCACCAAAGGTCAGCCCAAGTTCGTTGGGGACTTCTAAGGTCACATCCAGCGGTGCGTGGGGGCCTCCAAGGCAATACCCAGCCATGCTCAGTAAGGCCATGTGGTGCTGGGGGGTGGAAACCATGTAATAGGTATGCAAGGCACGCAAGCTCACCCCACACCCAAATCTACCTAGTCCTGAGGCATGAAGTATACATTCAGTGTTGTGCAATCATCATTACTCTCCATGTCCAGACATTTTTCATCATTCCTAACAGAAACCATGGTATTAAGTAATAACTCTCTATTCCTCCCTAATCCCTATCTCCCAAGCAGACCCTGGAAATCACATCCAACTTGCTAAAAACATTTCACTCATCTTAGATACTGCAAATCAATAAAGTCAGACAAGATCTATCATTCTTTATCTGGCTATTTCATATAGCAGAAGATTTTCAGGGAGAATAAGAAATATTTTTATAAGATAAAACATCTACATTTTACAAGTAGAAACTGTCCAAATTGAAAAGCATAAGCGAAATCTAATGTAACCATCAAGCAAGAACACAAAGCAACTTCTGTGATGGTGGTGATCATGACGATCATGGTTGCCGCACCAAATCCCACCCAGTAGAGCCTATGGTTGCATCTAACAGAGAATGTGCCAGGGGCAGAACTCGAGGCATCACTCATGCAAGACCAATGCTCAACCCTGAGCCACACCTGATATCTCTTAGACATTCTCCCAGCTGCGCAGGAGATGGGCTCTGCAGACATACAACTTGTAAATAAGGAACAACCAGTCTCCCCAGACTCTTCTAACTTAGAACCACCTGATCTACCCAGATGGCAAGGATGCAGAGAAACCCAGGATGGAGAGTCAGGAAGAATCCAAGGAGCCAGAAATATTTCAGACAGAACCCATGACACTTGCTTTTGCCAAAGAAACGAAAGTCACCTCAGGCAAGTGACCAACATTGACCTGGGCTGACAGTCTGGGGGGTGCTGATCAGGGAAGAAAGAGGCAGGATGTGGATAAGAGCAGTGGATATCCTGATCTGACCTGAAAATAGCTGAGAAGAATCCTTCCTTTCACACCTGTCTGTAATGGATTATCTGAAACAAGGGTCTTTGTTCCTTCTTCTCTTCCTGCTTCATTGCAGTAAAGAGATAAATAGAGTTTCAGCCAAGAGCTATATGTGCCTCAAGCTCCCTCCTAGGTCTGCTACATCTGTCTTTTCCCACAGCCCCTGAGCCAGGAAAGGATGAATATCACTTAATGACATCAAAGCCAACGTCTTTATAAAAGATAAAGACACCAAAGGCAGAGGTGATTCGTTTATCTAATAATCCATGCCATAGGTTACATATGCCTTCAAGATTGATTGCCACAGACCAAAATAATAAGAACCAAGACAGTCTCTATTATGTATGCCACCTCAACCACAATTTTCTAGAATTTGTTCCATTTTTTTTTTCAGGAAAACATTAATTTTTATTTTAAGGAAACAATTTAGGAAGAAAAATTGTGATATTTTTCCACTGCTTTTGACAGTACTGATGAAATATAATGGTCACTGTCACTCTCCTCGCATTGTTTATTGATTTGCTCGAGCGGGCCCAGTAACGTCTCCACTGTGACAATTGTTACTGTGTTTGGCATATCGAATACGTCACAGGTAGCTTGCCAGGCTTTGCCGTGAGGGCGAGATACTCTCAGTAGCTTGCCGGGCTCTCCAAGCGGGGCAGAGGAATCGAACTCGGGTCGGATATGTTGACCGCTTGCAAGGCAAATGCCCTACCAGCTGTGCTATCGCTCCAGCCCAAATATAATGGTACCTAGTTTAACAATTACTTCTCACAAAAAATTATTTTTTCAACCAACCAGGTTTATTTATTACAGAAGTGCAATAAAGATATAAAAATTCTTATTCTAATAATTGGGCTGGAGCGATAGCACAGCGGGTAGGGCGTTCGCCTTACAAGCGGCCAACATGGCCGACCCGAGTTCGATTCCTCCACCCCTCTCGGAGAGCCCGGCAAGCTACCGAGAGTATTCGATATGCCAGACACAGTAACAACAAAAGTCTCCAATGGAGACGTTACTGGGCCCGCTCGAGCAAATCGACGATCAACGGGAGGGCCTTTACCTTTTATTCTAATAATTACCCCTATCAATTATTTTTTAAACCACCCAGTTTATTATAGAAATAAGAAGAAAAGGGAAAGAAAATAATTTTTAACTAGCCATAAGTAGAAGAATCAGTATTATTCCATATTTATAAAATAATTCAATAATCGACAATGGAAAATTTTTTTGGTCTATTAATGACGATAGTTCTCTGGAAAACCTCGCATGCCAATTGATGATATATCAAAATAATGCCAACTTGGAGCAATAGTCCAGAGGGTAGGGGCTGGAGAAATGGCAGAGCGGGTAGGGTGTTTGCCTTGCACACGACCGACCCGGGTTTGATTCCCAGCATCCCATATGGTCCCCTGAGCACTGCCAGGGGTAATTCCTGAATGCAGAGTCAAGAGTAACCCGTGTGCATCACCAGATGTGACCCAAAAAGAAAAAAAAAGGGGGCAGCTGACCCAGGTTTGATCCCTGCCACCCCATATGGTCCCCTGAGCCCACCAGGGCACAGAAAACAACACCAAAATAATGTCATCTGATGATTCAATGAAAAAGGAAAAAGTTAAGATGCCTTAGCCCTAGCACGGGAAATGTACCAAGTTTATCTATTTGAAAACCAACAAAGGCCCATCTTTTTCAGACTTAAGTATTTGTCATTGAAAGCTAGAGTAAAATATTTTAGCATACATTTATTACATATATGTATTACAGCAATGTAGACAATGTAGACAATGTGTGTGTATGTGTGTGTATATACATCAAACCGCAGGTCTCATACCTGAACGGTAGCCCTCTCCCACTGAGTTACAACTCAGACACCTAAGAAAAGTATTCTATGTACCAATCTTCAAAAGGAATATTGGCACTCACAAAACATAAACACAAAAAGTACCCTTATTATTTACTTAAAACACACATATAAGTAATACATTTCTGTATTATTTGCCCAGTAAAATATGTAAGATACATAGCTCGGACCATTAATACCATACAGAAATTAGGTCTTTGCAACTGAAATGATGAGCAGGAGAAGTGGTACTTAGTAGGAAGCTTGCCATTAAGGGGTGGGGATGGGGAAAGGGAGGAAGTGGGATGAGTCACCTCCCACTTCCCATTCTATGATAATGACAGAGGTAAGTGGTCACTCTGGGCCAGAACTGAGTGCTAAAAGGAAGTAAAGTGATATGCACAATACTCTATCAGAAACAGTATTGCAAACTGCAGTGCCTAAGGTAGAAAAAGAGGCGGGGGAAGCTTCACATAAAGCTAGGTTAGGGGTCGGGAGGAAAACTGGGAACATTGGTGGAGGGAAGTGGACACTGGTCCAGCGATAGGTGCTGGAATACTGTATGCCTGAAACTCAACCATGAATAACTTTGTAACTCACAGTGATTCAGTAATTTTTTTTAAAAAAAGAAAGAAGTTAGGTCCTTGAGGATCAGAGAGGTAGTACAGTGGGGAAAGTGCTTCCCTTGCACAGAGATGATTGGGGTTCGATCCTCGGCACCCCATATGGTCCCTTGAGCCCAAAAGTGATCCCTGAGTGCAAAATCAGGAATAAGCTTTAAGCACAGCTGAGAGTGGTCCTCCCCAAAAAAGAAAAAAGAAGTTAGGTCTTTGTGTCAAGCAGAAACTAGAATATAACCAGAAAAATACTTCAAGAAATAGAACAGATCTCCCTAAATGTTTTTAAGAATCTCCATCTTGCAGGGTCCCAGGAGAGTGCTCAAATGGAAGGAACTGATGCTTGGTACCCAGGGGCCCCAGCTGTCATCTCTGCCTGAGTGCCAGAAAGTGTGAACCCAAAAAAATACTTTCATTAAGAATCTCCAATTTAGGGAAGTGGGTACTCTGATGGTGGGTATTACGCTGGAACGATGTCTGCAAGAAACCATCAAAAACAGTATTGTAAATCACAGTACTGCAACAAAAACAGAGATACAAAGAGAAAAAATTCATTTAATTTTAAAAAAGAATTTCCATTTGGTTCTCTTGCCCGGTATCATCATATTCATTTGTTACAAGGTGAGAAGAACATAAAGAGAAATAGGAAACAATATCAAGTAATTACAATGGCTAGAATGCAAACAGAAACTAAACCAGAAAATAATAATACTGATCCCTAATTTTCTCTTAGTCCAAGACCTCAAAAGAAAAACACAGATTTTTCAAATGTATCTTAAGAATTGGTGAATCTTCAGGGAAATGCGTGGCATTACCTAAATACTAACAGAATCATAGCTCATGGGAACAAAACAGTATTTTGGTATTATGGTGCCATCTACTGGCTAGATGTCTTCATTGCAATTCTACAATCAGTAAGGTGTTTCATAGTTGAGGTTTATTTAACCATAAAATTCAAGCCCACCAAAAAAAAAAAATTCAAGCCCACCATGATTCAAGGCTATAACAAGTCTCACAATAGAGACGTTCCTGGTGCCCGCTTGAGCAAATCGATGAACAATGGGAGGACAGTGTTACCCTACATCATACAGTCAAAACAAATGTACATAAGAGGTATGATGTTGAACACGTAAACTTCTATAGTATTATAAACCAATGGTAAGAAAATAATATTTAATTAAAGAAATAATTAGCAAAAAATCCCATTTCAGCTGTGAAGATGAACATATTTTGGTCTCTGAGTAGAAGATGAACACTTGAATTTTGTTTCTGTCAAAGAAGTTATAATATTCATAATTTATTCACATATTTGTTAACCCAACAATGGGTAAAGCAAACTCCATTACCAAAGAAGTAATAAAATGCATATAATGAAGAGCATGTAAAAACCTGAAATGAAAACATCATTTCTCCTGAGATCCTAAGATAGACTGTTCAGATCAACTACTAGCTAAAAAAAAATGTTTTCTTTACGGTACTTTTTGAGCATTTTGTAGTTCTAAATATATTTCCCTTCATATATTTCCCTTCCTTTCCCTTTTTTAATCTAATGATAACTTTTTGTTTCCCCCAATAGTTTTTATTTATTGTCATAAATGCTAACATTCTTAAAATCTCTGCATACATAGTTGAGGGTCATCTCTCAAGGAAAATTTTCACTCCAAGACCAAATTGCATGTAAAGGCTTGACATCCGTTGACAGCCCTGCAGAAGGTTGATTTCTAGTGACCAGGCTTCCCAATTCCTCTGTGGACCTCAGCTGGACCTCTCCTAAGTTCAAGTTCACAAGTTTGCTCCAGGTAGTCCTACATGTTTCAGTTTTCTTCGGTTTGAGGATAATTATCCTCCAGTCTTCAAAAGCCAAGGTCTTTGCCTCCTCATAGATAGTTGATTGCAGATAAGAATATAATGAGAAAAGTCACATTCCCGCAGATATAAATTGCTAACAAAAACTTTTTAAAACCATGACCCTGAAAAAAAAAATTGCATTGTCAAGGGCTGCTCGAGCAAGGGCTACTACTCTCATTAAGGTCTCTCTCAAAAAAATAAGAAAAGGAGAACTTACTTCTGCTTCAGCTACAGTAAATGATTGCATGATCTGAATTCTGGTATCATCCAATATTTCAGCTGTAAAAAACAATAACAAGTGTATAAAGTCAATGGCACGTAGGCAAACTATCTCAAAACAAAACAAAACACTAATATGTAGTATTCACAGATTTTCAGAGTTTGCATTCTCAAACTGGAACAATCAAATTATATAGCACACTCCTGTCAAAGGACTTAAAATATGCCCCTTCTTCTAATCAACAAACACCATGATCAGAGTCTAACAGTAAAGTTTCAAGTTCATCTTTTAAACAGCAAGATAATTCAGTGATCCTCAAAATCCCGTGAATGTTATCCTACCAAGAACTGAAAATAGAAAATGTTCTCATTTTCCACCTTGAATATTAGCTCAAATATGGATGTGAGATATGTATTCTCAGCTTTTTTACAAGCCCTTCCTCTCTCCCTCTCCCTCTCTCCCCTTTCTCTCTCTCTCTCTCTCCCTCTATCTCTCCCCCCCCCCACACACACACAGCTGGCTCAAAGTTTGCTCCTGTCTCTGTGCTCAGATGTCAAACCTGGAGGTGCAAACCAACAACCCAAGCCACTGTCTTCCCTGTACAGACCTGTGTTCTCTCTTAAACATGTACCTCTCTTTTTCTCTCCACTCACACTTCTTTAAATAAATTCCTTTAAATAAAACTATTTTACTTCACAAAATAGGAAAAAAATGGTAGGAGAGAATATTTGCTATTCAGCTTCTAAAAAGCAACCCATTTTCTTAAACGTTTCTAACATATATGCTAGACCAAAAAAAAGGTTTAGCTTTTGAAGGTCCTTTATTCTCATTTTAGGTGGAAACTAAAGAAAATTTGGGAAATTTAAACTAGCCTAGAATCCAAGTGAGTTTAAAATGTAATGAAACTTCCTCAAAGAAGAAATACAAATGGCCAAAAGGCACATGAAAAAATACTCTACATCTAATCATCAGGGATATGCAAGTCAAAACAATAATGAGATATCATCTCACACCACAGAGACTGGCACATATTCAAACAAACAAGACAACCAGTGTTGGTGCAGATGCAGAGAGAATGGGATCCTTATTCATTGTTGGTGGGAATACTGACTCATCTGGCCTTTTAGGAAAACAATATGAATATTCCTCAAAAAGCTATAAATTGAGCTTCCATATGACCCAACAATACCACTTAAGGAATATATCCTAAGGGCCCAAAAACACACAGCAGAAACACCATCTGCACTTCTACGTTCACTGCAGCACTATTCACAATAGCCAGAATCTGGAAACAACACAAGTGCCCGAGAACAGATGACTAAATAAAGAAACTACTACACAATGGAATACTATGCAGCTGTTAGGAAAATGGAGTCATGTAATTCACTTATAAATGCATGGACATGGAGTGTACCATGTTGAGTGAAATGAGTCAGAAAGAGAGAGATATGAATAGAATGATTGCACTCATTTGTGGGATATAAAAAAATATATATAGTATGAGACTAATACCCAAGGACAGTAGAAACATCGGCCAAGAGGACTGATCCACAATTGGAAGCCTGCATAAGCTACTGGGGAGAGGGCAGTTGGGTTAGAGAAGGAACCACTGTGGCAATGATAGCTGAAAAGGATTATTCCAGATAAGAACTCCGTGCTGACAGTAGAAATGACATCTGCACTTGTATGTTTACTGCAGCACTATTTATAAGAGCCAGAATCTGGAAAAATCCCGAGTGCCCAAGAACAGATGACTGGTTAAAGAAACTTTGGTACATCTACACAATGGAATACTATGCAGCTGTAGAAAAGATGAAACCATGAAATTTGCATATAAGTGGATCAACATGGAGAGTATCATGCTACGTGAAATGAGTCAGAAACAGCGGGACAGACACAGAATGACTGCGCCCATTTGTGGAATATAAAGTTACATAATAAATAACACCTAAGGATAGTAGAGATAAAGGCCAGGAGGGTGGCCCCATGGCTTGGAAGCAGATCTCATGTGCTGGGGGAAAAGGCAGGTGGGATGAGAAGAGACCACTAAGCAAATGATGGTTTGAGGGATTACTCGGGACAGTAGATGTGTGCTGAAAGTAGGCTATGTACCAAACATGATGGTTGCTTAAGGCCTATGTTGCAAACCATAACATCCAAAAGGAGAGAGAGTAAGAGGGAATGTGTCTGCCACAGAGGGAGGAGGTGGGAAGGGGTGGGGGTGGTGGGAGGGACACCAGGAACATTGGTGGTGGAGAATGGGCACTGGTGGAGGGATGGGTACTCAAACATTGTTTGATTGAAATGTCACTGTCACTGTCCTGTCCTGTCCTCCCGTTGTTCATCGATTTGCTCGAGCGGGCCCAGTAACGTCTCCATTTGGCATATCGAATACATCACGGGTAGTTTTCCAGGCTCTGCCGTGCAGGCGAGATACTCTCGGTAGCTTGCCGGGCTCTCCGAGAGGGGCGGAGAAATTGAACTCGGGTCAGCCATGTTGGCTGCCTACAAGGCAAACGCCTTACCGCTGTGCTATCGCTCCAACACGAAAATTTGTAAGTCTGTAACTGTGTCTCATGATGATTCGTTAAAATTTAAAAAATTAAAAAGAAAAAAAAGAACTGTGTGCTGAAAGTAGATAAAGAAACAAACATGATAACCTCTCAGTATCTTTATTGCAAACCATAATGCCCGAAAGGAGAGACAGAGAGACAGAGACAGAGAGACAGAGAAGAAAAGCGGCTGCCAACGAGGCAGGTTGAGGATGGGGGTTGGTGGCAGAATACCGGGGTCAGTGGTGATGGGAAGTGTACACTGGTGGAAAGACAGTTGTTGGAACACTGGATGACTGAAACCTGATCATGGACAGCATTGTAACTGTGTATCTCACAGTGAATCAATAAAAAATTAAAAGAAAATAAAAAAGAAAATAAATAAAATATATGTCATCCATTGGCACCAAGACCAAAATGGATATTGTCACTAAAGGGTGCAGTCAATGTATGTCCTTCCCTATACAGTGACATAAATGAGCTGACAGTCATTTGTCCATTAGGTATAGTTTTATCCACATTCTACCCTGTATTGACGTTGAACATCTCTTCTTTATCCAGCTCAGACATTCAGGTTATGTGGCAGCCTCAAGTCAGACCAGCACTCAGAGAAAAAGCAGCACAGCGGGTAGGGTTTTTGCCTTGCACGTGGCCAACCTGGGTTCAATACACAGCATCTCATATGGTCCCCCAAGCATAGCCAGGAGTAATTCCTGAGTTCAGAGCCAGAAGTAACCCCTGAGCATCACAAGGTGTGACTCAAAAAGCCCAAAAAAAAAAAGAAAAAGAAGACAACTTATACCCTAAAACTTCTCATTTTTTCCTTGTATTTTGCCCACAAATTCTAATAAATATCTAAAATCAAATTATCTAAATAATAATAATAATAATGGCAGAAAAAAATTTACAATTTCATCTACACACTGAAAGATCACAGTAGAAATGTTTTGTGTATTACCATATAGAGGGTAGTCATTACTATCAAAAAGCAAAGTAAAGGGCTGGACAGATAGTAAAGGGAGTAGAGTGTTTGCCTTGGATGTAGCTGACCCCAGCATCCAAGGCACGGATGATCCCCAGCACTCCATATGGTCCCCGAAGGCCCACCAAGAGAGAGCCCTGAGCACAGAGCCAGAAGTAATAAATAATGAGTACAGCTGGGAGAAAGAAAAAAGGGAAGGATGGAAGGAAGGACGGAAGGAAAGAAAGAAGGGAGGGAGGGAGGGAAGGAGGGAGGTTCAATAATTTATACAAAGGTGTGTCTACAAACATCGCTTTGCAAGGTGGTTACCTTTCTGAGAGAGTCGGTAAGCATGTATCTCCAAAATAATCTCAGTCCCAACATGCCAGGCTACAAATCCAATCATTGTATAGGTTGTCCAAGGGTCAGGGAGATTTAATCCTGATAAATCCATTCCCAGGAATATTGTAGTCACTGAGTTTATAAGAAAAACATATTATATATCTTATCACCAACAACCAAATCAGTGCATGTGTGTACTTGTGTGTATTATGCCCAGTAAAACCTACTAAAAGAGTTTCTGAAATTAGTAATATCAATATTTAAGACCAGATCATTTTTTTTCAGTGTAAGATGAGAAAGGTAAAATGGGAAAGTGTTGTTGTCATCTCAAGGGATATGGCTCAATGACAGAACACATGCCTCGTATGTATGAGGTCCTGGCCTCAAACTGTTTACATATCCACATATACTCACAAAAAGGAAAGCACACCCAAATTTCCCCCAAAAAATTTTAATCTGCAATGTAGGAAGGAAAACACGCATAAAACCTATTAATAGTTATGTTCTCCTTTTCCTTGAATTTTTACAAACTATAGAAATGTGAGGCTAAGAGGTCTCAGCTTAAGGACTTAGTGGTCAAGCACCACATAATATTTCAAGAAATAAGAGACCTCGAATACAATGGTGACCCCTAAATTCATTTTATCATACTAGGTATACAGGCAAACATACCATCAAGGCTTGTTTCCATACAAAATGTGCTATGTGTATATATATATATATATATATATATATATATATATATCTCATCCACACAGGGACAAAAATCACTCAACAAGGCATTTCTTGTGTTGTTAAGCAACACAATTGTCCAAGGAATCAAAATATATTGCACAATCATTTCACTTTCAAAAACCTCCCTTTCCTGAAATGTACTTATTTTCTCAAAAAGACCAGGAGACAGAGAGGGCCGGGACCCCCACATCTCAGTCCAACTCGTAAATGACCCCCAAATTATACCAATGAAATGCTTGACTGCCAGCCCTACTTACTCTGCTGAAAAAAAAAAGCAAATCTGGAAGAGAAAACATCTTAAGAGAAGAGTTTTTAAGTCATTAAAAAAAAACTTAAACTTAAAACTGAAATAATGACTTAAATAGTTACCTCTAGAAATTACTTTCTAGATTTCAATGTTTAAGGCTGATTTCTTCTCAACAACCAATTACTCCAATTACTAATGCATCTAAAAATCATTTAAGCCAAATTACAACTTGCAATTTAAACAACCAGCAATTATATATGAATAAGTGGCATCACAATTACTTACCTGCTATTATTCGAGCAGCTGTTCCAATACTCCAATGAGTCCAGTTAAATACTTGTCTTCTACCAAAATAAAGAACCAGTCAGTATTTTTTAAAATGATGGAACTACAATTAATTCCCAGGAGGAAAAAAAAACATGCAATTACCCTTATTACCTAAGAGGCAGATATCTGAAATTCATTTTAAAAGTCTTTCAAAGTAAACAACTTATCACCAATTTTTATAAATTGCAAAATCTTTCCACTTGAACTGGGATTAGTTTGACAAGTAACGATCCCCAAGTTGAGAGTTTTATATATAAAAGCTGTAAGTACCTGGGGTGTTGTAAAGGTGGTCTGAAGGTTGCCAGGAGAGGCTGAAGAACTGCTAAAACCATCACTACACAGCCAAGGTAGGGGTGATATCCTGCATGCTAAGCAGAAACACATCATTCTAATGTCCTGATCTCCCCCCATCACTTTCATGGGTGAAAAATAATACACACAGATAAGAGTCTTGATGTTTTTCGGTAGCATTCATCATTTGATGATCGTGGCAAGCAATGTTTACTGAAAGTCTGCTTTCTACACATCATCACTAAGGCTCAACCGTCAAACCAAGCTTGACGGTTGGTTATCAATATCCCAGCTTGATGAATGAGAGAATCGAGGCTCAGAGCTATCAAGTAAGATGTACAGGGCCCCAGTGTGCAGATGGTGGTGGCAGAATCCACACGCAGAATGCTGCCACTGCCCAACATGTGATCACATGAGAAACAACACCAGACCTGGGCAGCCACAGGCAGGCAGCCCTCCTTGGACTCCTCATCCACACCCACAAGTGATTATCCCAACCTCCTGCCCGACTGAAATTATGATGGTAGACCACTGCATCTGCCTGAGCGGCGGGCTCTATGCAATCCTTCATGGCTCTGAGGCTTAACAAATGACTCAATAAATGTTTGTTGTTGTAGTGAGTAACCTGCAAAGCCAAGATAATACAAATCTTACCTCACCAGTTCAAAACAAAGTTCTAATCAAAACAAAAAGCAACAACAACAATAAATATCTTAACAATTTTGAAACCACTCTTTTAGGGGCACTATCTGTCCACTCAAATAGTAGATGGGGATACTGGACCTTCTTATATAATTATTTTATTTAGCAGTCAGCTATGGGAGGCAATGAGCTATAAGATGATGGGCAGAGGTGATTAAACTAGAGAACAACCAGATACAGAGTCAAAGAGAATGCTGGGAAAACCTTAATATTTACTTTGAATCAAGATGAGAGACAATAGACAGACCAGTTTAAGACATGGCAATGACATTCCTTTAAAAAAATCACTCTACCTTAAGTGGAAAACAGATCACCCATAGACAATGAAGTGGAGAGAGCAGCTCTATTGCTATTACAATAACCCAGGTAAAACATGAGGAAGGCTGGGCCTTAATAGTACAGGCTCATCTACAACCCAGATGAGCTCAATTCCCAGCACCACATATGGTTCCCCAAGCACTGCCAGGAGTGCTCCCTGAGCACAGAGCCAGGAGTAAGCCCTGAGCACCACTAGCTGTAGACCTAAAAATGATAAAGGTGGTTCAAACCCACTGTGGCCAATGATTGTGATAAGTGTTGCATTTTTAACACTGTATAGACAATGGAACTTCCTGTTGGATGTCTATAAAAGAGAGAAGAGTTCAAAAGCATTCCAAGGGTCTGGCCAACAATGGATGCGGGGATAGTAGCAGGTGAGGCAAAGCTGAAGGGATGATTGGGAATTTTTTTCTGGACTCTCTGGGTTTGGGATATGCAAGGGGGGTTACCATGAAAATACCTGAATGTGAGTCTCAAGCCAGCAGAGAAGGTCAGGCTGGAGATAAAAGATTTGAGAAAAAGCCCGTTTCTTCATTGGTGACCCAGGATTATGACCAAGAGCTACTTAATTTGAGGTTTAACTGTGATGACACAAAAGTCAGAGCTGTTCAGAGAGCAGAACTGCAGCTCATGGAAGAGCAGTGACCCTAAGGCCAGAGAAAAGCAGGATGCTCGTGCTCATTAAAGAGCACTCTTTGAATTTTCACCACTCTACAATAGGAAAAAACACAAAGGGCAGGAGATGGCCTAGCAGGAAGGGCACTGGCATGTAATCCCAGGAATCCCACATGGTCTCCGAGGACTCCTACCAGGAGTGATCCCTGAGCACAGGTCCAAGAGTAAGCCCTGGGCACAGGAAGTATGGCCCAAAACCAAAATAATTAATAGTAAAAGAAAAATATAAACACTAAAACTATGCAGTGAGGGAGTGGAGAGATAGCACAGCAAATAGGGCATTTGCCTTGCACGTGGTCGACCCAGGTTCGATTCCCAGCATCCCATACGGTACCCTGAGTGCATGAGCCAGCAGTAATCCCTGATCATGGCCGGATGTGACCCAAAAAGAAAAAAAAATACTATCCAGTGATAATACAGCATCCTAAAAACCCAGCCCACTTCCAAGTCCTTGACATTCTCACTCCACTCCTGAAACCAGTCACTTGAAATAGTGATCAGACGATTCAAAGGGGAAAGAGAATCTATCAGCAATCTCCTCCACATCACAATGGATTTATAATGACATCCTGTTAGAGGTCTACTCACCCAGCTCCAGCCTCCCCTGTAAACAAAAGGCAGAATGACAGCAATGCAGGTGAGCGCAGACGTGGTGATCATGAGCAGTCGATGCACCTGCCAGGGGGAGATGAGAAGGTGGAACAGAGCTGGTTACATAAGAGAAGGGAGCTGGTGTGACAGCGGAAGAAGAATCACGGGTGGCAGGCATCCAACTGGCATCTACTCATAGTCTGCGGTCAGTCAAAAAAAAAAATATATATATATACAAACCTTGTACCCCATCAAACTTTAGAGAAACCTTAAATTGCCACCCTGCTCTTCTACAAGCATTTACCCAGACTTCTGCCACAGAAAGTATAGAAACAGATATTGATACGCATATCCAGAACTCAGACTTCTGAGTCCTTCATTTCCTTTCAAAGATACTTAAGTTCCACCATCACACAGTGCTATGGTGTTGTTATACCAGACTTGAAGAGAAGACAGAGAGAAAAGAAAAAAAATATTGTCTCCTAAAGAGTTTGGATTATAATTCAGGGTTTAAGAGAAACAAAAACCAAATACATTTCCTAATCCAGAGAATATAGAGAATGAAAATGGCAGTGTTAGTTTTGCCAAGATAACTGGTGCAAACAGAAATAATTTCAGGAAAAGGAGAAACCACAGTCACTCTCAACCTGCCTATGTGTACCTACACACATGTATATTTAAGATGCAACACAGGTTTAAGGGAAGTGGAGAATTTGAGTGAGAAGGAAAGAAGAATCAGGAAGAGTTTCCAAATGTGAATAATCCCATGAGGAGATGATAGAGACAGAGTGAGCAAAGGCAGAGACAAACAGGAGAAGGCATGTAGCAATCATGAGAACGCATTCAACAGGCTGACCTTGTCAGCCAATGGTGAGCAACTGGGTTAGTTAAGCTAAACCTCTCAGGCTACAATTCTGGGATGGAGACAGCTGAAAGGATTACTCCACATACAGAAGATCTGGGTTTAGAACCAAGTTCCCTGAGTACCAGAGCAACCATGGCACTACGCCAAGAACAGTCCCAAGCACCACTGGGTGTGCACCTCACCAAAATAAAAGACATCATCATACAAATGTGAATTTTATGGCTAACCTCTCTCATGTAGTTTAAACTGTTCAAATAAGCAGCACTGTTCCCTACCTCAACACATGCGCACTGATCTTGCAGTATGCGAGCAAATGTCTATACTCTAAGACACAGGAAGAGTGAGGTTTGTTTTGTTTCGTTTGAGAGGTATGTAATGTCTTTTTCTCACGTTTCAAATAATAAAACATCTTCCCATCTCTCAAGAAGAGGCTGAAAATGAATGCTTCCCACCCACAGGAGACAGATGATCTTCACCCGGAGAGCTGGAGATAGTTCAACGTTCATTGATTCATCAACCAGAGGACTGAAGCCTGCTTTAAATGCAGCAAGCACTCTCGAAATCTGTCTGGCTGTCCTGCATTCCTTGACCTATCTGTACTAAGAACAGTACCTGAATGTTCTTCCAGCCCTCTCTGAAATTAGACAGGTAAGGCAAAACAACTTGAGTCACAAAGTCTATCTTATAAAGAGACATACTTGGTCCGGACACAGTCCCTGGGCCCTTTGTAAGGCTGTCTCTATTTTGAAGTTCATCTTATGTCTACTCTGAACTGGCTGAGAAATAAAAAGGCAAAATAGAAATTAGTAGGAACCCAAGAAATATAGACACACACTATATGATTTCATAATTGCAAATTTAAACAATACGAAAATTCCATTAAACTTTTTCTCCTACCTACCTGAAACCAAACTGCTTTCCCAAAGAAAATCTGTGACCAAACAGGTTTGAAGAACCGGGCAGTGAGTACACCTATGCTAACAGTCGTCATCCATGCCACAAACATCAAGGCACCTATAAGTCAGAAAATACAGTGGTTGTCATCACAACCTAATGAAACTGCTTCTGAAATGACCAAGTAAAATGTCTCAGACAATAGAAACAGCCAACAAAATACACTCAACTGACACCAGCATAACCTAAAAGAGCTCTCTATAGCGTAGCTTGTTCCACTGCACTGCTAAAAGCTAACACTTCCCATGGCTCTCTTACATGTCAGGGACCAGAAGCGCCCTACATCCTCTGATCTAACCTTTATAGGGATCTTATGAAGTATTAAAATTGTTATTTCATGGGGGCTGGAGCGATAGCACACTGGGTAGGGCGTTTGCCTTGCATGAGGCCTACCCGGGTTTGATTCCTCTGCCCCTCTCAGAGAGCCCGGAAAACTGCCGAGAGTGTCTTGCCCGCATGGCAGAGCCTGGCAGGCTACCCATGACGTGTTCAATGTGCCAAAAACAGTAACAAGAAGTCTCACAATTTGTTGTGAGACGTTACTGGTGCCTGCTCGAGCAAATCGATGAACAACGGGAGGACAGTGCTACAGTGCTACTAATATTCTACTATAATATTAACTACTTTCCCTATTTCCCTCAACATTTTTGGAACCACTGTGAGATACACAATTACAAGGTTTTTCATGATTGAGTTCCAATCATACAATGTTCCAACACCCCTTCACCAATGTCCAATGTACGTATGTATATTTCCCACCAATGTCCCCATTTCCCTCCCACCACTTACGCCCAGCAATATTTCAATCTCTCTCTCTCTCTCTCTCTCTCTCTCTCTCCTCTCTCTCTCAATCCTCTCTCTCTCTCACTTACTCCTGGTTCTGCACCCAGGAATTATTCCGGGAGGTGCTCAAGGGACAATATGGGATGCTAGGGATCAAACCCAGGTCAATGGCATGTAAGGCAAATGCCCTACCCGCGGTACTATCTCTCCAGCCCTAAACTTCCACTGTAATTTTAATGTGCACTCAAGATTAAAACTAATGAATTAACCCTACTCTTCATGTTTTAATAAAAATTTCCAATCATTAAGATAGATAATGCAACATGAAAATATTAATGTTTAAGCATAGATTATTTGTTAAATTACTCCAACACAGCTAGTAATCCAGTCAATACTGAGTCAACTGGTGAGTTTATTCCATAAAGAAGTATTAATACTACACAAGTTACTTACCATGAGCCTTCAGAAGGAGTACAGAATGCGAGCCACCTACGTTCTTTGGATTGTCTGTCACATTGTACTTTTCGTGTGTAATCAAAGGTTGCTGAGAATGCTTATGAATTCGACCTGGATTTTTTTTAAATGAAAAAAGAAAATGAGAATCAATGAAAAGACGTAACATAAGATAAGAGAGCCCAAACAGGGAAGTATAAGTGCTTGCCTTATACTTGGCCACCATCACTTTGGTTCCTGACATCACATACAGGGTGCCTGAGTACTGCCAGGAGTGACCTCTGAGTACAGAGCAAGAATTAAGTCCTGAGCACTAGCAGATGTGCCCTCCAAAAAAAAAATCCCTCAAAAAAAGTGACATCAAAACAAGTTTCTGAAGGTATTAAAAATAAATACTACAAGATCAACAGATAAAGTCATTTCTAAACAAAAACTTATATTCTCTTTTAAAAATTAAAGACGTCATTTAGCCAACTGAAAAATAAATCAAAATAAGATCTTGGTACATCTGATCTCCTCCATGTGATACATAAAGAAATAAATCTAGAGAAAAGATAACATTCAGTGTGTAAACTCAAAAAAACAGCAGCGGCAATCTATCTCTCCCGCTGCCCTTGTTCGGTAGTCTCACGCTGTTCCCCCACCCTGGGGAGGTCGATGGCGACGCGCAGGTAAAGGAAAGAATGAGGGCCAGGCTGGTTGGTGTCAGTTGCAGTCTATTCCATTCCCATCTCCATTCTCCTCTGATTCTCCTGCTTCTTCCTCTCCCATGCTACTTCATTCTCATCCTCGATCCCACTTCATCCTCTTTCTGGCTCTGGAATCTGGATCTCCCTTCTCCTTCTCCTTCTGGAGTCTGGATTCTGATTCCCCAGCCCACTCTTTAGTCTAGTTTAAGTCCCAAAACCATGAGAGATTGGGGTAACAATTACACCTAGGTGTGGTCACAATCAATAGGGGTAAAGTTCTTTCCTTCGGGGAAAGCCACTTCTAGGACAGATACTCTCTCAGCAGGATGACCCACCCTAGAACGGAATCCCCTGGATGTGTTTCTCCTCTCTTTGTCCAACAAACATATAAGCATTCATAATATTAATCATTTTGTATGGACACAGTAAGAGATACATTAAGCTTATAGATTTGCTCTCCTAGGGCCATCTTGATCTCAGACTACAGTACTCAGGCCAGATAGTCTTTCCTATCCCTAGTCTCATCATTACTCTTGTATCATGACAGCATTTGTCTATGACCATGCTCTTAACTCATAGTTAAGAATCGTGGCACTTTGGCCTGGCCCATTTCGATGCCAGGGTAGCTCACAGCTTGCCCTGGGTCCATTCAGTCCCTCGTCATGACCCTGCTTTCGGGGTGCTAGGAACTAAGGGCAACTGAGGCTTAAGTCGAGAAAGCAGATGCCCAAGAGTGAATAATATTCAAAGCCAATTAAATCCTAAGTTACAAAGCATAATATTAACTGTCTTCCTGTATCTATACAAAAAGGACATTGCATTAAAGTAAATTATACAAAAGACATAGGAGAGGAGAAAGACAATATTAACTTATAATACAATTTCAGTCTCCTAGAAGGATCTGACCTTACAAATTAACAGAGTCTGATTAGGGGTAAAAGCTGATTAACTGGTTGGGGAAGAGAGCAGAGAGAAGTGGTTACAGATAAACGAAAGAATGGGAGTGACTCGGGAGCACTGTGATGGGTGTAACCTGATAAACCTAAGCTCCTTTGGCAAGGGAGAATGGACAAAGCAATGTTGTCCTACAATCCAGTGGAAAGAAATCCTGAGATTCTAATTGTACTACTGAGTTTAGCGAAGATGGCAAGAGGGAGAGGAGATGATCGGGTCCTGTGGACTATGGTAGGAGGATTTTGTCACCAGCATTTTGTTGGTGATGTGGCATGGTGCCATCGTACTTCTAAAACATAGAAACATCTACGGTTTTGTAAACCACTGTCTCCTCAATAAAGTGAACAAATAAATAAGGACCCAGAAGGGGAGAGGTCATGGTAAAAGAACAGCTATAAGCAATAGACAAGTTAAGGAAGTCAAATAATCTTAATGTGATCCCAAACAAGTAAAAATGTTCAATATGATATTTTTAACAAATACATATTTTTTAAAAATCTAGCCTTTCTCCATGCAGCACTGCTGTTTTTACTTTAGTTAACAGTTCATCGCGACTCCATCAGGGATAATCAGATCCAGTCCACCCAACCACATGAAGCTGCAGAAAATGTGGATCCAGAAGCATTGAGTATGACAAAAGCGCAAAAGAAGAAAAATAATGAGACTGAATGGGATTTTGACAGCGGGAGAATGCCCCTTAGATCTGAACAAGACTTGAATCCTTTCCAGGGATTTCTGATGAACACTGTGCCCTCCAATCTGGCCTCTGCCTTTTGAAAACCACCATCATCAAGAAGTCCCTCTGACTCACAGGATGCCCGTGCCAGGCTCAGGCAGCACAGACAGGGATAATGAAGCTGGCGACATCAGAGGTGGCTGCGGAGCCCAGGATGCCACCCATGTGTCATTAAATTTTAATTTTTCTTCATTTGTTTTTTCTTATATCACTTGTATAATCTATAGCCTCCGGCTTATCTCCCGGCCTTTAAGGGCTGATAAAATAGAGGCATAATCAAAAGAAAAATGTTTTGAGCAAGCCAGCCAGCAGCATATGAAACTGTTGAACGCAGAAGGCTCCCTGATGTGTACGACCATTTTTACCGATTTGTATGGCCTTAACTCAACAGTCTCGCAAGGCAACACATGTGCCAACATAGTTACTGAACATTGCGCATCACATTCCTAACATATTCGTCTTCCAATATAAAACACCTCTTTAATTATAGGAAGTGTAAGACACTTAGAGACAAACCCTACTTTCTGCACGGATTGGAGGTGGGAATTTATATATATAATTTTTTTTTGTCTTTTGGGGTCACATCCAGTGATGCTCAGAGGTTACTTCTGGCTCTGCACTCAGGAATCACTCTTGGCGGTGTTCAGGGACCATATGGGATGCTGGGAATCGAACTTGGGTTGATCTCGTGCAAGGCAAATGTCCAACCCACCGTGCTATCACTCCAGCCCCAGGAATTTATATTTCTGGGCCAGAGAGATGTACACTAGTTTTGCATGCAGCTCACCCAGGTTTGATCCCCAGCACCCTATATGGTCCACCAAACCTCACCAGTAATGATCCCTTGGCACAGAGCCAGGAGTAAACCCTGCGCACCACCAGGTATCACCAAAAACCAAATGTATAAAATAAAATGTATCTTTCTGGGCCCAGAGGAATAGCTCAAAGGCTTAGAGTACCTTCTTCGCTGTACAGTCACAAGTTCGAGTCCTGGTAGCCCCGCAGAAAGCCTGGTAGGCCTGCTTGCACATGGCAGCTCTGTGATCCCCACTGCCACAGAAATTTCCAGCAAAGGGCCATGGCCCCAGCAAGCACTGCAACTAGTAAGAACTGCAAGTGCTGTGGCCAGGAAGTGCAACCTGTAGTTGCAACCTGTGGTGGGGATATGTGAGAGCACCACCACCAACACAACTCAGAGTACAAGCTCCAACATGCGCTAAAGAAATGCAAGCCAACCATAATGCCCATAAGCAGAGAGAGAGAGAGAGTAAGAGGGAAAATGTCTGCCACAGAGCTAGGAGGAGGGGTGGGAGGGATACTAGGGATATTGATGTTAGAAAATGTGCACTGGTGGAGGGATGGGTGTTTGATCATTGTATGACTGAAATTCAAACATGAAAGTTTTGTAACTGTAGCTCACGGTGATTCAATAAAAAAAAATTTTAAGTAAAATAAAAATAACAAAGAAATGCAAGCCTCAGGGAGCACCAACTGCACAAGCACTGTGATCTACATATCCTCTGCGCATGACAAACACACCCCCATCATCTCATCACATCAGCAAGGAAGGAAGGGGGAAGGGGAAGGTAATAATTCATTGGTAAATAGATAAAAAATGAAAATAAAGCCTATCCTTTTTCTCTTGGAATGATGACAACTGTAATTGTAGGGGTAGTTTGCTGTTGTATCTTATATAAAAATCTATTGACACTTTTGGCATACCTCCATGAATGCAATACCTGCCCAGCACATGGATAAGATTCACTGTTGTTGTTTTTATTTATTCATTTTAGAGAAGACTCATAGATCAACCTTACCTCAAACATCAAGTTTTAATCTAAGCACAAGAAAACTGACAGGAATCTCTCTAATACTAACAACTGAATTAAAATGGATTCAAAGTGCTGGATCTTTCCTAATAAAGTGACACTAACCCCAAAATATGAATAGTTGTGGAGCCTATGAGACAGGAGGCAGAGCACTTGCCCTGGGTTAGACCCCAGCACTGCATATCATCCCAAGCCTGGAGTGATACCTAAGCACAGAACCAGGAGTAAAGTCCTGAGCACAGTCAGGTATGGCTCAAAACCAGACAAACAAAAAAATTAATGAATGGTTGAGTTCAATGTTAAAATTTAGAAAACTTCTCTGGGAAGGGACGGTTGAAAATGTTGAGAATGTCCCCTTAACTTGTCCTAAATGATAAGATGGTTAAAACCTCAACCAGAAATCTTTATTTGCAGTTCATAGTGTTATGGTGGAAGAACCTAGTGCCCATTGGTCATTTTAAATCTCACCTGCATGGGACAGAGGGAATAACTCAGGGCAGAGATAATCAGGGCATAAAAGAGGGCACAGTCACACACTCGGACCCACACTCGTGACATACATACAGCAGGAAGATACAACAGTTCTCTATGACCCCTCTCCTGTACCTGAGGGGAGGACAGAAAAAGCAGCAGTTCTCACACACAGGAGCTTGGCTGGAGAAGAAAGGAAAAGCCAAAGAGCAAAGAGCATCAGACACCAGCAGCGAGAGACAGATCACAGAGCCAAGTGACAGAGCAGCAGGCTACCAAGAGTGCTGGAAAGTGGAGAGACAGACTAACTTGAGCACACGGGGCCAGGACCTATGTGGAATCTGGACTTTATACATAGGACATCAGAAGACTGGAGATCACCGCCAACAAAAAAAAAAAAAGCATCTCTACCTAAACTATGAAATAAAGGAATCA